CCCTACCCATCACCACCTACACACACAATACCCATCACCACCAACACACACACCCTACCCATCACCACCTACACACACCCTACCCATCACCACCTACTCACACCCTACCCATCACCACCTACACACACCCTACCCATCACCACCTACACACACAATACCCATCACCACCAACACACACACCCTACCCATCACCACCTGCACACACAATACCCATCACCACCTACACACACCCTACCCATCACCACCTACACACAACCTACCCATCACCACCTACACACACCCTACCCATCACCACCTACACACACAATACCCATCACCACCTACACACACCCTACCCATCACCACCTACACACACCCTACCCATCACCACCTACACACACAATACCCATCACCACCTACACACACAATACCCATCACCACCTACACACACCATAACCATCACCACCTACACTCACCATAACCATCACCACCTACACACACCATAACCATCACCACCTACACACACCATAACCATCACCACCTACACACACCATAACCATCACCACCTACACACCATAACCATCACCACCTACACACACCATAACCATCACCACCTACACACACAATACCCATCACCACCTACACACACCCAACCCATCACCACCTACACACACCATAACCATCACCACCTACACTCACCATAACCATCACCACCTACACACACCATAACCATCACCACCTACACACACCATAACCATCACCACCTACACACACCATAACCATCACCACCTACACACACCATAACCATCACCACCTACACACCATAACCATCACCACCTGCACACACCATAACCATCACCACCTACACACACCATAACCATCACCACCTACACACACCATAACCATCACCACCTACACTCACCATAACCATCACCACCTACACTCACCATACCCATCACCACCTACACACACACTCTACCCATCACCACCTACACACACCCTACCCATCACCACCTACACACACTATACACATCACCATGTACACACACTATACACATCACCATGTACACACACTATACACATCACCACCTACACACACTATACACATCACCACCTACACACACTATACACATCACCACCTACACACACTATACACATCACCACCTACACACACTATACACATCACCACCTACACACACTATACACATCACCACCTACACACACTATACACATCACCACCTACATACACAATACCCATCACCATGTACACACACTATACACATCACCATGTACACACACTATACACATCACCATGTACACACACCATACTCAGGTCTCCACCATACCCTCCGGTCACTGTAAGCATCTTCACAAAAACTATCACCATCATTGTACACCAAAGATTGTGCCTGAACACAAACTGTCATCTGAACACTCAATTGCAGGTCAACATCTGAATACACTAATGTTTAAATAATTGCTAGACATTACTCATATTCTGGGTTACATTTCCTATCCTTCGACTTCATGAAGGGGGGCAGAGACCCCCTTGAAGGGTAACTTAGCGGCCGACCCAAACTATCCCCCTTCAAGGGTAACATAAGAGCCGACCTTAGCCACCCTCCTTCAAGGGTAACTTAGAGGCCGACCCTAACACTCCCCCCTTCCCCCTTCAAAGGTAACATAGTGACCGACCCCAACAACCCCCCCCCTTCAAGGGTAACATAGAGGCCGACCCCTACCCCCCCCCCTTCAAAGGTAACATAGGGGCCGACCCCTACTCCCCCCCCTTCAAAGGTAACATAGGGGCCGACCCCTACCCCCCCCCCTTCAAAGGTAACATAGGGGCCGACCCCTACCCCCCCCCCTTCAAAGGTAACATAGGGGCCGACCCCTACCCCCCCCCCTTCAAAGGTAACATAGGGGCCGACCCCTACCCCCCCCCCCTTCAAAGGTAACATAGGGGCCGACCCCTACCCCCCCTTCAAAGGTAACATAGGGGCCGACCCCTACCCCCCCCCTTCAAAGGTAACATAGGGGCCGACCCCTACCCCCCCCCCCTTCAAAGGTAACATAGGGGCCGACCCCTACCCCCCCCCTTCAAAGGTAACATAGGGGCCGACCCCTACCCCTACCCCCCCCCCCCTTCAAGGGTAACATAGGGGCCGACCCCTACCCCCCCCTTTCAAAGGTAACATAGGGGCCGACCCCTTACCCCCCCCCCCTTCAAGGGTAACATAGGGGCCGACCCCTACCCCCCCCCTTCAAAGGTAACATAGTGGCCGACCCCTACCCCCCCCCCTTCAAAGGTAACATAGGGGCCGACCCCTACCCCCCCCCTTCAAAGGTAACATAGGGGCCGACCCCTACCCCCCCCCTTGAAGGGTAACATAGGGGCCGACCCCTACCCCCCCTTCAAAGGTAACATAGGGGCCGACCCCTACCCCCCCCCTTCAAAGGTAACATAGGGGCCGACCCCTACCCCCCCTTCAAAGGTAACATAGGGGCCGGCCCCTACCCCCCCCCCCTTCAAAGGTAACATAGGGGCCGACCCCTACCCACCCCCCCTTCAAAGGTAACATGGGGGCCGACCCCTACCCACCCCCCTCCAAAGGTAACATAGGGGCCGACCCCTACCCCCCCCCCCCTTCAAAGGTAACATAGGGGCCGACCCCTACCCCCCCTTCAAGGGTAACATAGGGGCCAACCCCTACCCCCCCCTTCAAGGGTAACATAGGGGCCGATCCCTACCCCCCCCTTCAAGGGTAACATAGGGGCCGACCCCTACCCCCCCCCTTCAAAGGTAACATAGGGGCCGACCCCTACCCCCCCCCTTCAAAGGTAACATAGGGGCCGACCCCTACCCCCCCCCCCCCCCTTCAAAGGTAACATAGGGGCCGACCCCTACCCCCCCCCCTTCAAGGGTAACATAGGGGCCGACCCCAACCACACAATGAGACTCAATATAATCACCATGGAAGGTTGTGTGAGGCTACACACAAGTGTCTGACTCTCAACATTGTACTGTCAGACAGACATTCTCTTTTATAGATAGACTATGGGAATAAGTGGGTCTCTTCCTCCTTCCCTACTGACTCTCTCTCTCTCTCTCGCTCGCTCAATCTCTCTCACGCTCTCTCAACTCTCTCTGTCTCTCTTTTTTCCTCTCTCTTGCTATCTCTCTCTTCGTCTGGCTCTCTTCCTGTTTCTCTCTTTCTCTTCCTCGCCCTTCCTTCCTCTCCCTCTCTCTCTATCTACTCTCTTCTCTCTCTCTCTGCCTCTTTGTGTATATATATCTCTCTCTCCCTGTCGAGTTTTAGACTAAGTCGTCTTGTGAAGATATATATATTTATAATATTTTTCATATTATACATATAGCCAATATCTGTTTACATAGTAAAATATAAAGCTAATAGCAATGAAAATATTTTCTTATATAGCTAATAAAAGTATATATACTTACATATTTATCTCTCAAGGGGGAGTATCTGGCTGAGCACGGGACTCTTTCTCTTTCCCTCTCCTCCCTTTATTCCAATCACCCCTCTCTAATATCTATTACCTTATCTCCTCCTTCCGATGTCTCCTTCTTCCTTCTCACTCCCTTCCTTCCTCCCTTCTCACTCCATCATCCTTCTCATCCTTCTAGTCTCCTTCCTTCACACACCTCTTCTCTCCATCCTTCTCATCCCTCTTCTCTCCTTCTTCTCACCCCTCTTCTCTCCTTCTTCCTTCTCACCCCTCTTTTCTCCTTCTTCCTTTTCACTCATATTCTCTCCTTCCTCCTTTTCGCCCCTCTTCTCTCTTTGCCACCTCTCCTTCTCTATCTCCAACTCTCCCGCATCTCTCACCCTCTCCATCTTTGTCCCGCACCTCCCCTTTTCCCTTCACATTTCCTGCCCCTCTCCACATTCTCTCTCGCCCCTCTCTCCTCTCCACCTGCCTTCTCCCTTTCTCCTTTCCTCTCCGCAATCATCCTTCTCGTTCTCTCTGTCCTTCTTCTCTCTGTCTGTCTGCTTTTATCTGTTTCTGTGTGTTGTCGGCTGCCTGTCCCTACTTTTCTGATTGTCTTCCTGTCTCTCTCTCTCTCTCTCTTTGCCCTGATCGACCCGGTTTCTCTGTCTCTGTAAGTCTCTGTCTCTGTACGTCTCTCTGTCTCTGTTCGTCTCTCTGTCTCTGTACTCCTCACTTTCTATGTACGTCTCTCTGTCTCTGTACATCTCTGTCTCTGAACGTCTCTCTGTCTCTGTACGTCTCTCTGTCTCTGTTCGTCTCTCTGTCTATGTACGTCTCTCTGTCTCTGTACATCTCTGTCTCTGAACGTCTCTCTGTCTCTGCACGTCTGTCTGTCTCTGTACGTCTCTCTGTCTATGTACGTCTCTCTGTCCCTGTACGTCTCTCTGTCTATGAACGTCTCTCTGTCTCTGTACGTCTCTCTGTCCCTGTACGTCTCTCTGTCTATGTACGTCTCTCTGTCTCTGTACATCTCTCTGTCTCTGTACGTCTCTCTGTCTATGTACGTCTCTCTGTCCCTGTACGTCTGTCTGTCTCTGTACGTCTCTCTGTCTTTGTACGTCTGTCTGTCTCTGTACGTCTCTCTGTCTTTGTACGTCTGTCTGTCTGTCTCTGTACGTCTCTCTGTCTTTGTACGTCTGTCTGTCTCTGTACGTCTCTCTGTCTTTGTACGTCTGTCTGTCTCTGTACGTCTCTCTGTCTTTGTACGTCTGTCTGTCTCTGTACGTTTGTCTGTCACTGTACCTCTCTCTGTCTATATCCATTTCTCATTTTGCAGGTATCATTCAGTGTGTCTATCATGGCCTGGTTTCCATAGTAGTAGGTATCCATCAGTCTGAGGAGACTATGGAGTTGCGCTCTGGTTGTCGGTCTGGAGTGGCCTCTCCAGGGCAAGTTGGCATTCATACACATCTTCATACACATCTCACTCCCTCTCACTCCCTCAGAAGTAAGGCAAAAGAAGCAGAAAGGAGAGTGAAGGTCAGACGTGAAGTAGAACAGTTTACCTTGTGGACAGCTCACTGACATTCCTCTTGCACTTCTCGTGTTCCTCTTCCATCAAGCGACTTTTTTCTGCTAGTTGATTATTTTCCTCTTGAGTACTTATGAGTTGCTGTGCCTGTCTGTCTTTATCACTCTGTAGAGCCGTGTTTCCTACCCGTAACTTACTGGCCTCTTCTTCAATGACGGAGAGTTGCTCTTCAACAAGTCTTTTCTCCTCTTCAGTCTTTCTGTTTGTTTCTTCCTTTTCTTCCTTCAGAGCAGCGTTTGCTGTTTGAAAGGCCCTGACCTGTTCTTCCAGGAGTGAGAATTGCTCTTCAACAAGTCTTTTCTCTCCTGCTGTGTTATTATTCATTTCTTGCAGCTGTTGTGTCTCTCGCTCTAGCTCAGCGATCCTCGTCAACGCTGTCATGACCCTCTCCTGGGCTTGGGTCTCCGCGAGCTCCAGCTGTCGGTTCTTCGTCTTGACTAGCCTCGAGTCCTCCTCCACTTGACGAATATCAGCCATTAGACGACGATTCGCCTCCTCTGATAAGCGAACATCATTCTTAGTCTTCCTGTTTTCTTCCTTGACCAGCCTCGAGTCTTCCTCCACTTGACGGATCTCCTCCTTGACCAGCCTCGAGTCCTCCTCCACTTGACGGATCTGGGACTTTAATAGGATAATCTCCTCCTGAGCAAGGCGCACTTCGTTCTTAGTCTTCATGTCATCCTCCTTGACCATCCTGGAGTCCTCCTCCACTTGACGGATCTCCTCCTTGACCAGCCTCGAGTCCTCCTCCACTAGACGGATCTGGGACTTTAATTGTACAATCTCCTCCTGAGCAAGGCGCACTTCGTTCTTAGTTTTCATGTTGTCCTCCTCGAGCAAATGATTAGCAGTATTTAGGCGAGTGTTTTCCTCCTTCAGCTTGAGGTTGTCAGCTTGGTGAGCCTTGTTGACACACTCCAGCTGGTCCAGAGTGTCCAGGAGGCGGCGGGTGGCGTTCTCCCTCTCCTTCACACCTGCCAACACGTCAAATATGAAATATATACTACAATATATATTACCACCATCCACACTACCACTACTAGTAAAAATGAAACATATACTGCTGACCCTGAAGTGCACTCCAGTCCCTGAAGTACAGTCCAGGGCCTGAAGTACACTCCAGGAGCAGAAGTACATGCCAGGCCCTAACGTACACCCAAGAACGTGAAATACACTTAAGATCCAGAAGTATAAGCCACACCTTGAAGTACACTCCAGATCATGAAGTAGACTTCAGGCTCTGAAATACATTCCAGGACCAAAAGTATTCTTCAGTCTTTAAACTACACTTAAGACCCTGAAATATATTAAAGTCCCTGAAGGACACTCCAGTACCTGAAGTACCTGCATTTAAGACCCTGAAGTACACTGCAGACATTGAAGCATATTTCAAACACTGAAGTACAATTCAGGATTTGATGTACACTCCAGGAACTGAATTTCACTCCAGATCTTGAAGAACACTCATGATCCTGAAAAACACTCTATACCCTAAAGTACACTACAGACCCTGAAGCAGTCTCAAGGACCCAAGGTTTATTCTAGGTATTGAAGTACTCACCAAGACATGAATTGCACTCATGACCACGAAGAACACTCCAGACCCCTGAAGTACACTCAAGGATGTAAAATACACTTCAGACCCTGAAGTACACTAAAGACCCCTGATATATGCTCCAGTCCCTCAAGTACACTTCTGACTCTTATACACACTGCAGGACCTGAGGTACAGTTTAGGCCTTGAAATACTAATCAGGATTTGAAGCACACTCCATGCCTTGAAGTACACTCCATGCCTTGAAGTACACTATAGATCATGAAGTAAACTATAGGCCATGAAGTAAACTATAGGCCATGAAGTAAACTATAGGCCATGAAGTACACTATAGGTCATGAAGTAAACTATAGGCCATGAAGTACACTATAGGTACTATAGGCCATGAAGTAAACTATAGGCCATGAAGTAAACTACAGGCCATGAAGTACATTATAGGCCATGAAGTAAACTATAGGCCATGAAGTAAACTACAGGCCATGAAGTAAACTACAGGCCATGAAGTAAATTATAGGCCATGAAGTAAACTATAGGCCATGAAGTAAACTACAGGCCATGAAGTAAACTACAGGCCATGAAGTACTATAGGCCATGAAGTAAACTACAGGCCATGAAGTACACTATAGGCCATGAAGTAAACTATAGGCCATGAAGTACACTATAGGCCATGAAGTAAACTATAGGCCATGAAGTACACTATAGGTCATGAAGTAAACTATAGGCCATGAAGTAAACTACAGGCCATGAAGTACACTATAGGCCATGAAGTAAACTATAGGCCATGAAGTAAACTACAGGCCATGAAGTAAACTATAGGCCATGAAGTAAACTATAGGCCATGAAGTAAACTACAGGCCATGAAGTAAACTATAGGCCATGAAGTAAACTATAGGCCATGAAGTAAACTACAGGCCATGAAGTAAACTGCAGGCCATGAAGTAAACTATAGGCCATGAGGTAAACTATAGGCCATGAAGTAAAATATAGGTCATGAAGTAAACTATAGGCCCTGAAGCAAACTATAGGCCCTGAGGTAAACTATATAGGTAAACTATAGGCCATGAAGTAAACTATAGGTCATGAAGTAAACTATAGGCCATGAAGTAAACTATAGGCGCTGAAGTAAACTATAGGCGCTGAGGTAAACTATAGGCCATGAAGTAAACTATAGGCCATGAAGTAAACTATAGGTCATGAAGTAAACTATAGGTCATTAAGTAAACTATAGGCCATGAAGTAAACTATAGGTCATTAAGTAAACTATAGGTCATTAAGTAAACTATAGGCCATGAAGTAAACTATAGGTCATTAAGTAAACTTTAGGCCATGAAGTAAACTATAGGCCATGAGGTAAACTATAGGCCATGAAGTAAACTATAGGTCATGAAGTAAACTATAAGCCATGAAGTAAACTATAGGCCATGAAGTAAACTATAGGTCATGAAGTAAACTATAGGCCATGAAGTAAACTATAGGCCATGAAGTAAACTATAGGTCATGAAGTAAACTATAGGCCATGAAGTAAACTATAGGCCCTGAAGTACACTCCAGTAAGTGAAGTACACTTCAGGCCCTGAAGTACAATCTAGTTCATACAAAACACTCCAATTCCTGAAGAACACTACAGACCAGGAAGTATTTCCAGACCCTGAAGTACGCTGCAGGCCCTGAAAAATACTCCAGACTCTGAAGTACACATAATGATGAGAAGTACACTTCAGACCCTGAAGTGCATTTCAGGCCCCGAAATACATTCAAGACTTTAAAGTAAACGCCTGAAGTACACTCCAAGCAGTGCAATACACTCCAGACCCTGAAGTACACTCCAAGCAATGCAATACACTCCAGCCCCTGAAGTACACTACCCAGCAAACTATTTATGTTGCCTGAACGTACCAGGGAAGTTTTTGAGGGCTGTAGAGTTAAGTAGTAATCAATACATTTTTGTGCGGAGTCGTAAATTGGTTGCCACAACTTACTACACAACTTTGGGTAAAAAAATTAAGACCCTGTGGCAACCTTAAATGTTGCGTAAAAGTAGCTTCCGTTATTGATGTTATATATAAAAATGTAGCAAAATAAAAATATATATTCTACATTTAATGAAAATAAAACAGGAGCATAATAAAAGGGGTTTCAACAATTTGTATTTATTACTAGATGTACCCCGCAACGCGTTGCTGTGGTTCCCATTCCTCCCCATCATTCCCCCTTTCCTTGTCCCCTCGTCCTCCCCACCATTCCTCACACCCCCATCCCCTCGTCCTCACACCCCCATCCCCTCGTCCTCACACCCCCATCCCCTCGTCCTCACACCCCCATCCCCTCGTCCTCACAACCATTCCCCCTTCCCACGTCCCCTCGTCCTCCCCACCATTATCCCCTCCCCTGTCCCCTTGTCCTCCCCATCATTACTCCATCCCCTGTCCCCCTCGTCCTCCCATCATCCCCCACTGCCGTCCCGTAGTCATCCCCACCATTCCCCACTCCTTCATCTGATGCATTCCCAAATGCTCTGATGTTCCCATCAGAAAATTGGGAACATCAAATGATCTCATGTTCCATCACTGAAATATGAGAAAAACAGTTAAAAAAACGTAAATAAAAACAATCTATATAAACAGAAATGGAAATGTTCGTTTGTTCAAAATCGCTAATCTCCGAAAGTTCTTCACCAATTGCTTTGAAATTTTCACACAATGTTCCATTCGCATCAGAACGGGTTTTTATATACATTTTATATTGATATCACGTCTGTGATGAAAAAAAACATGTTTTTTTTTTAAACTGTGTTATTCATGTGTTTATCATGTGAGAGAAATCTTCGAAACCTCATTACCGATTTCTTTGAAATTTTGACACAACGTTGCATTTGAATAGGCGCATGTTTTTATATTCTTACTATATACTTGCCTCACCTGTGACGGAAAAAAACATGTTTTTTTTTATAAACAGTGCCATCTGTTGGACGTAAGAGCAACACACACAGTTATCTCCCAAAGTTTCTCGCTGATTGCTTTGAAATTCTGACACAACGTTCCATTCGAATATGCAAGTGCTTTTATATGCCTACTATACAGATGCCACACCTGTGACAGGTAAAAATATAATTTAAAGAAAAGACAGTGACATCTGTTGAACGTAATAGCAACACACACACGCTATACTAAATATGTTATGATTTCCACTTCAATGTTTCCGATTGCATTAATAATTTGAATTTTCATAGATTTCGATTTATTTTAATTTTGATATAATTATTTTGTGTGACACTGTGTTGGAAATGAGCTGTGTTGTTTACCACACCGTTCATTTCGTAATTATAAGCATATATGCCACACTAGTAAAAAGTAAAAAAAAAAATTTTTTTTTAATAAACAGCGCCATCTGTTGTACGTAAAAGCCATACACACTGTAATAAATATGTTACGATTCCATTTCAAACTTTCCGATTGCATTGACAAATTAAATTTTCATGTATTTAAATTTATTTTCATTTTGATTGAATTATTTTATGTGATGTTGCGTTGGAATTTAGCTGTATTGTTTACCATACCGTTCATTTCATGAGTATAAGTATAGATGCCACACACCCGTGACAGTAAAAACATGCATTTTTGAAAAACAGCGCTATATGTTGCACGTAAGTACAACTCATGCTATACTAAATATGTTACGATTTCATTTCAATGTTTCGAATTTCATTGATAAATTGAATTTTCATAGATTTCGAATTATTTACATTTTGAGTTAACTATTTTGTGACACTGTGTTGGAACTGAGCTTTGTTTACCATACCGTTCATTCTGTGAGTATATAATATTTTTTTATTTCTTCATTGTTTTTCACTTCGTGTTTTAATTGTTTTCTTATATTTCAGTGATGGGAACATCAGATCATTTGATGTTCCCAACTTTCTGATGGGAACATCAGATCATTTGGGAATGCACCGGACGATGGAGTGGGGAATGGTGGGGAGGACGAGGGGACGGGCGTGGGGGGATGGTATTGAGAACGATGGGACAAGGGAGGTGGTAATGGCTTGGAGGACGAGGGGACGGGGGTTTGGGGATGGTGGGAACGAGGGGACAGGGGAATGGAGAATGATGGGAAGGACAAAAAGACAGGAAAGTGGGGGATGGTGCGGAGGACGAGGGAACAGGGGAGAGGGAAATGATATGGAGGCCGGGGGGACGGGGGAGAGACCGAGGGGACGGGGAATGGGGAATAGTTTGAAGGACGAGGGGACGGTGGAGTGGGGGATGGTGAGGGAGGACACAGGGATGGGGGAAGGAGGAAATGGTGGGGAGGACGAGGGGACAGGGGAATGGGGAATGGTTGGGAGGAAGAAAGGGACAGGAGAGTGATGAATGGTTGGGAGGATGAGGAGACGGGAGAGGGGAAATGGTGGGGAGTTCT